TGGTAATTAAAATCGGGTATTTTCTTTGTCAAAACATCTCATAAACACAAATAGTAATTAACAGGACTTGAAATGAATCAGTAGGAACTACTTTGTATTATGTACTTATACGGAAATATAGCTCTTTCTTATCACACTAATAGAAATAAATTAAATAGTTTTCCTGAAAGACATGGAACCAAATATGTAAAAAAATAATTGTATGGCCTTGTGATTGATTTATTCCTGGACTGCTATGAGTATCTTGAACTCTGAACACGTTATTGAACATGTTACATAATCGTTAGCGTGTATTTTACATATTCAGTAATCAATCATTCATTATTAATTTTTTTTTTTTTCAAAATTTTAAGACGTACAATTTTCAGAGGAAAATACCAAGCTGGTTAAGTGCAGTTGATTTTCACATCTCCGTTGTTACATGTATACGCACACAAAACAGCACAGAGATATCTGAAATGAGTAAAAAGAGATTTGTCTTAATTATGCCTCCCTTTCGCAATACGACAATATGAGAGAGGCATGCATTGCATGTTCATACGCGGCGCAGCGCAGAGAAAATAACTGGCAGCTGCACAAAAATCAATGCTCCAGTAACCTTGACAAGACAATAAAATTTAACAACTGTGGATCTTAATCCTTAGCTTGTTGGGGATGTGAAGTTGGTGTTGTTTTTTTTCCCAATGATTGTATTTTTAGCTCACATTTTAACCTTGTGAGATGTAATGTCATGATTTTTTTCCTGCACTATTCTTTTTTTTTTTTGAGTTGTTCCTTTTCTTTTTTTATAAGAAAGAAAAAGAGAAAATAAATCAAGTGTAATTACGACAAGCTATTAATTGTGGCAAATATTTCAACAAGTTTTTGGGTGTAATTTATTACAAGTTATCAGTTATATTTTCAAACATGAAGCTAGAAATTCATGAATATACAAAGCAAAAGATAGATCCTTGTTTGAAAGTTGCCGAAGTTTAAGGTTTTCTCTAATGTCTGTCTACACTTTTTTCTGCCATATAATGTTTCATGTTTGAATGAGTGAGCATCCCTTTGGGTTAAAGATTATGTGCAAGATTCTTCCCTTTGGGTTTGAGATGCTGTGTGTAAGTCTCATAATAGTCTCCACTTTGAAATGATAAAACAACCCATTCCAGATTTTTAAAAAATAAAAGATCTGAGAAATTTGTTTCTTTGGAAAAAAAAAATATTTGAAAAAAAAAATAGTTTTTACATATATCTTCTTTTATAGGAAAAGGGTGTGTGAAATTGTATAGACTTTCATGGCAGGTTTAAGGTTACAATATAAGGTTATAGATCTGATATAATAGCATGCACAATGCAAAAATTGGTTATAGGTATTAACAAAAGTCCTAATTATCTGATGGCATTTCGTTAATGTTAATTGGGAAAACTAATTACTGGAATCATTAAGTAATAAAATAATTATATATTTTCAGATTTGTTCAAATGGAAGGCTGCTAATCCTACCAGTCATGTTCATACAGATTTTAGTAAGTTGTTTTTTATTCTCACTGAATTAGCTTACAGTGATCATACATTGGGTGTGCCTGAAGTAATATATTGATAAGGTTCGAGTCTTTGTGAGACCTTAAACCCTACATAACACTTGTACTTATAGTTATAACAGAATGTAATCAGTGTGCATGTTGAACCATATAACTTGGTGATATACAATATAACTTGAGGCTGAACCATATAACTTGGTGATAACGACATTACTTGATGATGAACCATATAATGTGTGATAAACCATATAACTTGGTGATGAACCACATAACTTGATGATGAACCATATAACTTGATGATGAACCATATAACTTGATGATGAACCATATAACTTGAAGATGAACCATATAACTTGGTGATGAACCATATAACTTGGTGATGAACCATATAACTTAATGATGAACCATATAACTTGATGTTGAACCATATAACTTAATGATGAACCATATAACTTGGTGATGAACCATATAACCTGGTGATATTCAAATGGTCATAGATAGAATGAAATAAGTGCTAAACTGAAAATGTGTGTATTGGTGTCAGTTAGGCAATTTAATTTTGCCAAGTTATCTGTGTTTTAACCTTTGGTTTGCTGAATTTGTCTATTGAATGTTAGAATGGTCTTTAGAGATTTCAAAACAAAATATAAAAATTAAATGAACAACACTATAGAGCTAGAGCCTTGTCAGACTGTGCGGATGTGCAGGCTGGCCTGGCTCTATACTGATGGCTTCTGGTGATGACATTTAGAATGTCGTTGAGACTAAATCCCACATTATACCATCCTGTTATAATATTTAAATTAATTCATGTATACATTCAAATTGTGCGGAATTGGCATATTTTTTATTCAATTATAATCATTGCTTTGATCTGTTTTAACGGGATTTATTTTTGTTGGCCAAAGTCAATTTAATAACCACAAATAAACATCAGTTGTTATTCTCAATTTATTAATTTGATTAATTGCTAAATGGCATTTCTTCCCAACCATGTAATTGTATCAAAGCAATTTGACAAGAAATCTTTGTTGATGCTCTTGATTGACAAGTGGTAAGAAAGTTCAGCATTTATACAAATCAAATGATTCTGTAAGGCGTTAAAAACTTCACAGACATTTAAATATCTATTTTCAAAACAGAGAAATGTTGTTATAATGTATTGTAGACAGATATAATTTGAATTCAATTAAATGTTTGTGATATTATTCCTTTATATCTGCTTGAAAGGGTACATAAAGTCATGAAGAAAAAAATAATGTCTATATTTGGATAATGTTCCATTTGAGACGTCCAATGATAAGACACTGTCTAAAAGCTAATGCTAAATATAAATATCAAAAGTTGAATTCCAGTCATGTGAGGATGCTTATTGTTGAAATTTCCTGCCGAATACCTCGCATAAATGCAGGAGAAAAATTTAAAGGTAGTACATTCCTGTGCATATACATGTTTATGATGGATTAGTATCCTATACAGTATATACATCAATAATAAGACCACTTTCCTGATAAGTCCCCTATACAGTATATACATCAATAATAAGACCACTTTCCTGATAAGTTCCCTATACTGTATAAGCATCAATGATAAGACAACTTTACTGTATATACATATACATCAATGATAAGTCCCCTATACTGAATACACATCAATGATAAGTCCCCTATACTGTAAATACATCAATGATAAGTCCCCTATACTGTATATACATCAATGAAAAGTACTCTATACTGTATATACATCAATGATAAGTCCCCTATAATGTATATATACATCAATGATAAGTCCCCTATACTGCATATACATCAATGATAATTCCCTTATACTGTATATACATCAATGATAAGTCCCCTATACTGCATATACATCAATGATAAGTCCCCTATAATGTATATATACATCAATGAAAAGTACTCTATACTCTAAATACATCATTGTTAAGTCCCTATACTGTATATACATCAATGATAAGTCCCCTATACTGTATATACATCAATGATAAGTATACTTTACTGTATATACATCAATGATAAGTCCCCTATACTGTATAAATGTCAATGATAGGTCCCCTATACTGTATATACATCAATGATAAGTCCCCTATACTGTATATACATCAATGATAAGTCCCCTATACTGTATAAACATCAATGATAAGTCCCCTATAATGTATATACATCAATAATAAGTCCCCTATACTGCATATACATCAATGATAAGTCCCCTATACTGTATATACATCAATGATAAGTCCCCTATACTGTATATACATCAATGATAAGTCCCCTATAATGTATATATACATCAATGAAAAGTACTCTATACTCTAAATACATCATTGTTAAGTCCCTATACTGTATATACATCAATGATAAGTCCCCTATACTGTATAAACATCAATGATAAGTCCCCATTTACTGTATATACATCAATGATAAGTATACTTTACTGTATATACTTCAATGATAAGTCCCCTATACTGTATAAACATCAATGATAAGTCCCCTATACTGTATATACATCAATGATAAGTCCCCTATTCTGTATAAACATCAATGATAAGTCCCCTATACTGTATATACATCAATGATAAGTCACCTATACTGTATATATACATCAATGATAAGTCCCCTATATTGTATAATGCATCAGTGATATGCCCCCCCCCCACCTATACTGTATATATGTCGGTGATAACTCCCATTTGCTGTATAACCTTCTTGCCGAGGTTGATATGTTATGTTGGGGATGAAGAACTGCCTTAGTTTTTATGCAGGGAATTAATGAAATCAATTTAGACACTTAATCTCAATAATAACTTATAACAAATAGCTACCTGCATACTTCTCAAATGTAATTTATACTTTAAAAGTATTTAAAACCTAAATTAATTGTCAAAATTTATTCATTATTTATTGTTATTTAAGATCTATAAATTATAGGTACTTTCCTAAAATATGCAAAAATGAGGAACATAATTTATGTTGATATTTGATTTTCAAGTTTACGTAGTACAAGTAAAAAGTTTACTTATTTTGTATTTACCTTTCTAAAAGTTATATATATATATCAAGCAAATTTAAACATTTTCAAAATAAATTTATGCTAATTATTACACTATTTTGATACTGATACTAAAAATAGCCAAAAGTGTAACCTTGACATTGCATGTTTCAAATAGCAGTATTATACAAATAACGTAATAAAAAAACTCCAACCAAGATGAAGGAGCTAAAATTAAACCTTTTTTGACATAAATTAGCATAAGTTAAAAGAGCAAGGGATATAACTTCGATCAGTCTGCAGTGTTTACACTGTATAAAGTAATGTACTGATTTGGCCGCTTCATTTGAATTTCTGAAAGGATTGGGTCATGTAACGTTAAACATTAATGCTTAAGTGCATACTGCATAACAAAAATGCACATAGGTAATTGTATGCTTGTATTTGGGTGTCTGGAGTGGGAATTTTTTTTGTGACACTTGCGTATAAAGAATTATATTTCATGCTCATTTGGATATAGAAAAAACCGTCGCAGTGCACCGCTGTGCGACTAATAGCATCTGAATAATTTAAAGTTACTTAATGATATCATTTCAAATGAAAAGTGAAAATGAGAGTGCTCCGATGCAATCGAGATATTTTAATGCACAATTTTTATGGCTGCTTTATGGCGGATGTTATTATTGATAGGTCGGGGAAAAAATAAATTTGTGCTGTAAAATAACAAACGGGATATAGTTTGTGGATAAGGCTACGCTTTACAACTAAATACTAAAAATAGAAATGTTATGGTTTTGGATTGCATAATAATAACTGTAAACTTCTTTTTTGTTCGTAATTTTATTCAAGTAAATAACGATCAAGTAAACACATGCAGGACTGCGCATGAACGATTTTGCATGTTTTTGTGTGTGTCGAGGTTATTAGTTCACTGAGAGATATGAGCACAAAATGGCCGCCAAACGTGATTTCCGCAAATCCATGGTTCTTTTATATGCTGTCGCAAGGTTTGTTGGCATGTTTATTTGATGTAACAGTAGAAATTGTGCAACGATTAAATACGTAATTAAATACTTCTGCATCAAAGATGCATACTTTGTGATGCATAATGTCGTTGTATATTTATGTATAATGTATACGCATGGGTATATTATAATGGTGCGCATTTCTGCGCGTCTGCTTTGCTGTGTCTAATTTTTCCGCTAAATAAAATTTAGAACCTGCATAAAACTGATCTTTCTGTCCAGATTGAAACTATCTAAAAATAAAATCATGAATGATGTTAGCAATAAACTGTTGGCATTTGTTACATCCATGTGTTGTGAAATTTAAAGCAAATGTTATTTTTACACGTAAGATATAGGTCACTATAATGGCGCTCTATACTGGCATAGAAACGGCATAGAAGCACAATGCGCGTTTGACGCGCAGCATGTGTGCGCATGAAATGGTAACTCAATTACATATATTAGCTATGTTTAACATGTCCATATATGTACATATTCAATAAAACCCATACCTAACACTTCTCTCCCAGACAACCTCGGATTACTGGAAAACAAAGAAAATTTCTTGGAGACACAAAATTCCAAGTCCTTTGATTAAATATGAAGGCTCATATTCTTCTATATGATAAAAGTTACTTATATTTTGCACTTATTGTGTTTTGGATGAGAATAACAAGCATTAAGATTTGGCATTTAATTAACTGGTTTTGACTATAATGGAATAATTATTGTGGTTATAAAAAAGCAACATTAAATTTTCGATTACAGACTTTGTTGTTGTTTATTTTTGATGTCAAAACTTAAATAAAAAGAGGCTGGATCATGCAGGCATGTGACATAAAACCACCTGGTGTCCATCAGTCATTCCTGCCTGTCTAATTTACAACTGCACAGTCATGACATTGCATAAACATAAATGGCGGATTATCATCATAAGTTATGATCACTTGCTGTAAATATGAAATAAAACATAAAACAAAATATATATAACCAAATTCTCTTTATATTTTTTTTAACCATATTTGAATAAAAAATAAATTGATTTGACCATTGTAATAGAGACTATAGCTAATCACATAGTTAAAGATATGCCACAATAAATGTATCATATATGATTGTGTATTGCACTTTTATTACACATGCTTAAAAACATGACATAATTATTACATCCTATTTATGTCAGACATACACATTATTAAAACATGACATAATTATTACATCCTATTTATGTCAGACATAATTATTACATCCTATTTATGTCAGACATACACATTATTAAAACATGACATAATTATTACATCCTATTTATGTCAGACATACACATTATTAAAACATGACATAATTATTACATCCTATTTATGTCAGACATACACATATATTAAAACATGACATAATTATTACATCCTATTTATGTCAGACATACACATTATTAAAACATGACATAATTATTACATCCTATTTATGTCAGACATAGTCTAAGACATGGCATAAGATTGACTTTTATCACAAATAGTTTTAAGTCATGGCACAATGATATATAAAGATAGTCAGACATAACACAAGAGTTTGTCTTATAAGACATGGTGGAAGCTATGTGTATTCTACTTATGCCAGACATAGTCTAAGGTAAAACAATGGAAGCCTATTATGTCACCAGCTATATGTTAAAGTGCTTTGGTAGTTTAGCGCGGAGGAAGGTAGTTTAGTACTGGTGTAACTCTCCAGGAACGATGGTTAGGAAACTACCCGCCTATATGACTGAAATACTGTTGAAAAAGGCTAAAAAGAAACAAACAAACAAACAAACAAACAAAAATTTTTAAGACAGGCAAAAAAATAATGTTATATTTTTTTTTTAAGCTAGTTAAGACAAAAAACTGGATGCCCCTTTTTATGTCATCAGATATGTTTTTTAAAACAAAGCATAAATATGTCTATTTAGTCAGGGATAGCTTAAAACATTTTAAGATTATATTTTTTTTCAAAACAACAAGTTTATGTCATATGTTTGATATATTGTAAAAAATTAAAAATTTTATAAAAAAAGTTTTTGATATAACACAAGTTCAGCAACTTTTTAAAAATGAAAATATTTTTTCTTACTGAACCAAAACCCAAAAATACAATGACACTAGTAATTTTCTACTTAATAAAACATGATTTAAGATAAGACAAAAGGTGTCCTCTACTTAAATCTGACATGTTAAAAGACATGGCAAAATTCATTTGGTACTTACATTTTGTGGGGACTTGATGGTCAAGTGGATAAGTTTTTTTGACCAACCAGTTGCCCCTGGCTGCTCACTCAGGGTTCTAATCCCATCAGGGACTTTAGATTCTTTTATATAAGGAAGCTATATCCAGCTAGCTTACAGAAGGTTGGTGGTTCTACTCAGGTGCCCACTTGTGACACAGGTGCCGAGAAGTACCTAAGGTCCTCCTCCATTATAAAGCTGGGAAGTTGTTGCTATATAACCTTAATAGTGAGGGTGTGATTTAAAAAACAAACCAAAACCAAATAAATAACCGAAAGGGCAAAGTTTGATGAATATAAAGCTAATGATTGTAATTCTTCTGTATAATATAGCTCAGTGTGGCATCTACAAGTGTCAAGATTAAGACATCATTTATCCTTTTGGTTGCAGTATAGTGCTGCGCTGTTTCCTAGTCTATTACAGCAATTCAACAAATAGTTTTAAAGACAGTAAAACTTGAAATAGATTTTATATAACCATTTCTTACTGTCACAAAAGCTAAATCAAAAGCTTGTGGTGATAATTTATGAACCTATCATCAAACATATATCTTATTTAATTGTTTAATGTAAAGGAAGGTCCTTTGTATTATATTGCAGTGATTTTTTTTTTCTCGCTTCTATGGGACTAGTGGCAGAGTCCATGGAGAGGGGAAAATTTTGTTGCAGAGGGGGAAAAGGGGAAAGTCAGAAACAGATTAAATTGTCCATTTTATATATATTATGTCAAATTGTGATATAATAACATAATTAATTCATACAACAATATCCTTCTCTGTTTCAGTATTGCATTAATTCTGATAAAATGAATCTCAGTTTTTTGTGTATACGTGAAATTTTGAAGAGGATCATGTTGTTTGTTTTTTTCAGAAATAGGGGAAAAATTTATATACTTTCAGGCAGGCAAATGGGGCTGAATTCTGACCCCAAATTTGCTCTAAAAATACTTTATAATAAACATTATATTAGTTTATAAGAGACACCTTCTGTGTCAAAATGTAAATGGATATTTTCTATTTGCAGGCAACATCAATACAGATGCTATGAACAACAATCTACAGGATTCTGTCCGGCATGGTAGTACAAGTAGTGCGGGCAGTTACCGTAGTAACGGAGCCCCAAGTGGAGTTAATAGTCCAACTACTCCACATCCACACAATGGCACAAGTGGTCCACCATTGGTGATACCACAACCAGTAAAGCCAGCCCAGAACAAATCGGGGAGTAAAACATATCAATGTAAAATGTGTGATCAGGTGAGACAGAAAGTTGACAAAATCTTTTCTTTTTTTTCAGTTTATACTAATTTATTTTAGTTTGATTGTGTAAAACACTATAAGTTTATTGAAACACACTCAGATCCGTTCCTAAATCCAACCAGTACTAAGCAAGGAGTGTAAAGTTTCTTGCTTACAGAAACAATTTCTTTCCCCTGACAGGGTTTAAACCCACACGGCCAGCAATCCTTAGATCACTAGTCTGAGGCATTAAACGCTCAGCATCCTGCCACATTTTTTTAACCTACATATTAAAGAATTAAACTTCATTTCAGTGACTGAATTTAGTTTTGTGAATTCTGCATGATACAAAGTAATCTCTGTAACTAAGCGATTAAGGTCACTGATGTCAAAATTCTTGACCATTACAAGTTGTGTTAGATTCTGAAAATGAACTAAATGAAGGAACATGTTTAACTTCTGTGGTTCTGCATGGGTATTTGCTACTGTCTTAAATAAACACTAAAGAGAGCCATAAAAGTATGTCATTCCCAAGCTAAATGACCTAATTAAACATTCCTGCTGGTCATCGGCATCATACGTAATATTAAGGCTGATGTTATTTCAGGATATTCAGCAGCTGTATGTAATTTAGATGCTCTGACTTTATATAAATCAGTGGTGTTTAGTCTGGGAGTTTGAAAACTATTTTTGCCATTGAATTGTGTCATGTAAGGAAACATGTATGTCTGTTCCTCTTATGGAAGGTTAATGGTTCTACTTAGAAGCCTGTTTGTACATAATATAATGCATGGAGACAGATACCTGAGATACTGCTTCTTCGGTAAAGCTGGAAGGTTGCCATATGACTGTTACAGTTTTCATGTGATGTGAAACACTGTTTTAAAGAAACTTTCTTGCTTTACCTTTTTGCACTGACATAACTCTAACAACAGATTACACCCATGTGACTTATGCGGACTATGATGAACAGGCACGTGCTTCCGTGCTTTATGATGGTGGTCTGCACCGTTCACTATTCAGGCAGTACATATTTTGAAATTTCCATGAGAATGATAAATATTTTTTTTGAAAAATGGACAAGTCCATTTAAAATATTAAGCTAGCATGGTAAAAGTAAAATCACATATTCTTTAGCTTTTGGTTATACTATTGACAGAGACATGTGTTTCTGGTGTGGAAATTATCTTAGCATTATCGAAAATAGGTAGTTCTATTTAGATACCAGTCCTATTGAATCATTCACCAATATAATTGTGAAATAGAAAATGTGAAGTATAAATCACATGCAGAAATTATAATATCTATGTAATCTGTACTTTTGAAAGAAATAAATGAAAGTATACAGGTCTGCTTGAGTTAGGAAATGTTTGCTACATGGTAATGATTGATGCTTTAACTTGTATCAAACATGCCTTTATAAATAAATTATGTTAATCTAACTTACTGCAATAAAGTTATATCTCACCTTAACTTATGTAACAAAGTTATGTCTGTGTTGTAACAAAACTCTCTTTTTTTCTACGCGTTAATCTATCAAATTTCAGTTAAAAAGCTTTGAGCATTTTTTGAAATGTTAAAAGAAAAGCTCTGATTTCTTCTTCTTTTTGTATATAAGTAGGTATATAATGATCAAGAAATGCAACAGTAACTGATTTTTCCTTCTCGACAATACCTTCTTAACAATGGTTTAAAAAAACAAAAAAAACAAGCCATTTACATCACAAAAAAAAGAAGAACTGTCACAATTTGATAGCTTTTTTAACCAATACTAACAAGAGAGTTATTAAATTTGTAGCATCGTCTGAAGGTGTTTTCCTTGCTGTTATTTCTGGTGTTTATTCCTCTAGAGAATCTCTAGATGAGAAGAGAAAAAAATGCAAAAGCATATTCTAGTTTTATCGATTCACAGTGCATGATTGGTGCACATACAGGTTCTGCTTTTTTTTTTAATAAAAAAAATTCAATAGTGGGTAAATAGATTAAAAAAATATCTGACAGCATGATGTGGGAAATGGTTTGTAGGAATCATAGAGAAATCCATACACTTGCCATGTGCCTGCATTTCATATAGAGTTTCATATTGGTTTAAGAAAATGCAACAGATGAATGAAACAAAAAAATATGAACATCAAATATATGGCTGTGATGTGGTTGGTATGATGTAATGTTTGCAATATAATAGCTACAGTTTTTTTAAGAGAAACAGTTACTTGGGTGTTATGAATGTTTTATGAAGAATAAACGTGTTAAATTTGAAAATTTATAGTCTTTAAAATAAAAGCAACACCCTGAACAACAATGTTTTGTAAGAAGTGATGGCCTCTGTTAAGTGAGGTTAAAAGTGACTGGCCAATGATACATTTTACAAGTGATTGTGATGTTAGGCAAAAATCTTAAAGTAATTGTTTTCCCCTCACTACTGTTCAATCAAGTGGGGACTGGGTAGGAAACTTAAGTTTTTTCCCCCTTCTTTGTTTTAAACAATGGGACTGATAAACTCCAGGGCGTTAAAACAAAGGAAATGGGGGGGGAAAATTTAAAGTTGTTTTTCAAAACCAATATGTTAAAACAAAAGGGACTAATGACCTTTAAATGTTTCACCCCTTTCAAAAAAAAGGGGGCTGAAAGAAAGTCAGTAATTCCCAATTTTAGCCCAAAAAAACTAATAAAACCAGGGGGTTTAAAAAACAAAAGCGGAAAGTCTTTGAGGACAAAAAATGTATTAAATTTGTTTAAAAAACCTTTAAAACAAAATTGGAATTAAACCTGGATAAAACCCTTTACCCCAAACGAAACAAGCAAAAAGTTTTCTTTCTTTAAATTTTTAAAATTTTGGCAAAAAACTGTAAATTAAAAATATTAAGTTGAAGGGCCTTTACCAAAATGAAGTTCTTAAAGTTAAGATTAAACTTTGAAAACAATTAAATACAAAACCTGTGTAAACCTTTTTTAAACACCCTTTAAAAATGCAAAGCTGTATGTAAGACCTCTTTAGATGCCTAAAATTTGCAAGTTTGTATGTAAGATTCTTTAGATCGGCCTTAAATAGCAAATTGTATGTAAGACCTCTTTAGATAGACCTTTAACATATGCAAATCTGTATGTAAAATTCTTTTGATACAGGCCTTAACATTTCGCAAAAGTTGTAGAGCCATTTTAATAATACAGACCTTAACTAAAATTGTATGTAAGACGTCTTTAGGTACAGACCTTAACATAACCCAAATTGATGTAAGACCGTCTTTAGATACAAGCCTTAACATACGCAAGTCTGCATGTAAGACCATCTTTAGATACAGACTTTAACATACGCAAGTCTGTATGTAAGACTGTCTTTGAACACATATTATAACACAGACACATCTGTGTGTAAGAACACCTTTGCACAAAGAGGGACTGAAAGGTGTTAGTACAAATTGCAGTGAAGATTAAATCATTAAAGACAGTATATAACTTGGTAAAGGGGGCTTTATCTGTTTCATGAAATACCAATCTCCAAGTTTCTGTCTGTTTTATGAAGTGAAATAAAGCAAACTTAACATATGAACACAATAGTGTCAGGCTAGAAATAAATTTTGCAGGAAAATTATATATATAAATACAATTGTTTTTTCTTTTTTACAGATTTTCTCTTCAAAGTCAGACATGTTGATTCATTGTCAACAAGTTCATAAAACTGAGATGAAGACATACAGGTAACTAGAAAGTATACACCTGCTAATTAGATTACATCATCTGTAATTCTAAGGCTCTTTATTGTCCCTTCCTTCACTCCAAATTATTATGAATTATATTTTAAGGGCTTAGCAATCAGTAGATCACATAACTTTTACAGTAGTTTTAACAGTATTATCCAAATTAAAATTTTTTGTTTACTCCATTTATTATTACCATAGTAACTTGCCAGAAATCTATGTACAGTTCTATGTCAAGTACAAGTTGCAAATCAATGTAGTTCCAGTCTGCCTATTTTTAATGAAACTTCAGCGCCTGTATTATGTGCTAACTGGCTGTTTAAATTACCATTCACAATATTTATACTACCATAGTTTTACCATACATTCATGAGTACCATTCAGCATGTTTTAATTAATTACGATTTGAGTTTCCTATACTATTTTGAAGTGGTTATAAGTGATATTCTGTGAAGCAGTAAATCTTCTCATTTGAGATGTAATGCCCCAATCACATAATATGTACAGGGCTATTTATTGGAATCACATTGGAGATGGTCAGCCCGTCTCCATCATATTTGCTCAGTAAATCTTATATCCTTTTAAGAATTGTCATCAAACTTGGCACAAATGTAAACCTTAACAGCGCAATGTGCAGAACCTATGCAAAAGCTGTGCTGGCTCTAGGTCAAGGTCACATTGAATATCAAGTAAAAGATCATTTTGTGTCCTCAGCTAGTGCCATTCTATATGCACTGATAGTTTTTGTGATTCTATATACATGTGTAACCACTCTAAAATGTATATGTTATGTAAGTTATTGCCATTCTGTAACTATGTACTGTCCATTCTTGCCATTCTGTATATAGTGTCAGGTCTTTCAATTCTGTATGTACTGTCATTTCTTACCATTTTGTATGTACTGTCAGTTCTTGCCAATCTATATGTACTGTCAGTTTTTGTCATTCTGTATTTACTGTCAGTTATTGCCATTCTATAATTATGTACTGTCATTTCTTTCCTTACCATTTTGTATATACTGTCAGTTCTTGCCTTTGTGTATGTCCTCTAGGTTCTTACCATTTTGTATATACTGTCAGTTCTTGCCTTTGTGTATGTCCTCTAGGTTCTTACCATTTTGTATATACTGTCAGTTCTTGACTTTGTGTATGTTCCCTAGGTTCTTACCATTTTGTATATACTGTCAGTTCTTGCCTTTGTGTATGTCCTCTAGGTTCTTACCATTTTGTATATACTGTCAGTTCTTGCCTTTGTGTATGTCCTCTAGGTTCTTACCATTTTGTATATACTGTCAGTTCTTGGCCTTTGTGTATGTCCTCTAGGTTCTTACCATTTTGTATGTACTGTCAGATTTTGCCTTTGTGTATGTCCCTCAAGGTTCTTACCATTTTGTATGTACTGTCAGATCTTGCCTTTGTGTATGTCCTCTAGGTTCTTACCATTTTGTATGTACTGTCAGTTCTTGCCTTTGTGTATGTCCCCTAGGTTCTTACCATTTTGTATGTACTGTCAGTTCTTGCCTTTGTGTATGTTCCCTAGGTCCTTACCATTTTGTATGTACTGTCAGTTCTTGACTTTGTGTATGTTCCCTAGGTCCTTACCATTTTGTATGTACTGTCAGATTTTGCCTTTGTGTATGTTCCCTAGGTCCTTACCATTTTGTATGTACCGTCAGTTCTTGACTTTGTGTATGTTCCCTAGGTCCTTACCATTTTGTATGTACCGTCAGTTCTTGACTTTGTGTATGTTCCCTAGGTCCTTACCATTTTGTATGTACTGTCAGATTTTGCCTTTGTGTATGTTCCCTAGGTCCTTACCATTTTGTATGTACCGTCAGTTTTTGCCTTTGTGTATGTTCCCTAGGTCCTTACCATTTTGTATGTACCATCAGTTCTTGACTTTGTGTATGTTCCCTAGGTCCTTACCATTTTGTATGTTCTGTCAGTTTTTGCCTTTGTGTATGTCCTCAAGGTTTTTGCCATTTTGTATGTACTGTCAGTTCTCATCATTTTATATGTTATGCCAGTTCTTGCCATCCTGTATTAACTGTCAGCTCTATTCATTCTCTTATGTATCTACATAGCTTTTGCCAGTCTTAGTCTTGCTATTTTAATGTTCTAAAGAGTTCTTGCTAGTATGTCCGACAATACACTGTTTGCTTTATATGTATGGTCACTTCATGCTATTCTATATTCACGGCCATTTTTTGCCGTCCTTTTCACTTAAGCGAGGTCTTACTTTCATTGTTTACCCTCAGTCATTCCCATGTTATTTAAAATACATAATCATTTTAATGATGCATATATTTAAGCCAGTATAAAGATGATAAATATGAAACATTTGCTTATCATTTCAGTCCATCTGCATTTAGATGCCCCCAATGTCAGAAGTGTTTTGCGAATTCATCTTATCTGTCACAGCACAATAGAATACATGCCGGAATAAAGCCGTACAAATGTGAAATTTGTGAACGAAAATTTACCCAGTTGTCACATCTACAGCAGCATATACGTACACACACTGGTTGGTACCTTTTATTTCTGTATTCTTTCAGATTTTACACACATCAGGGAAAACATTCAAAGAATGCTGCTTATGGGTAGTGAGACAATGTGGAACATGGACATAATTATTTTACATTAGAAGAAAGATTTGGATATTTATTGGTTTTAACCCTCAGTAGCCTGCTGATGGCGACTGAATTCTACCCAAAAATAAGTCTTCACTTAGTGCCATCAGATTTTGATCGGCACTGTGTGCTAATCCAGAAAAGTATAGGTTGTTAGCTCCCCATGTGGCTTAGGCTTTGCTGTTAAGGGTTGAGGTCATCAGAATTGCAGTTACTGTTCATCCCTGTGTGATCATAAGATGCAACTAAATGTGTTCAAATTACAGGAGTCTATGCATCTCTTAGCTCCAGCAGGTGAGGTGGTTCTGACCTCTGGCGTTCTGTTATGCAGCCATATAACCTGAATTGTGTTGGTGTACGATAAAACAAAACAAACAATAGGTTGATACACTTTCCCTTAAAATGATTAATTGGGATGTCAAGATTGATAGATGCAGAAGTCCATTTAAGGTATTTAATGTGGTAAACATCCAATCCAAACCACTACTACCTTCATTTATATTTATTGATGATTGAGGAGGTATCTTATGCTTGAAGTATCTACATCTTGATCAAAGATCATTTGTTTGACACCAGTACCAGTCTCATATAGCAACAATAATGGTTAGTCTATGATACAGACTTGAGTTGTTTATTTACCTTCACAATTTATCTAAACTGAGATTGTACTGGTGTGTTTAACCATTTGTTGAATACCTGAAATAGACTTGCCCATCTTTCAATCTGGACTGACTGAATAGCAAACTAGTGCAGGCCATGAGCAGATCATGATGAATGTGCTGGCAGATCTTGGTTTGCACTGGTTGCATATGTAGAATCTGTATACACCAGTAGGCTAAGATTTAGTTTTGAAATGAGCCTACAGAGATATTGGCAATCTGAGGTACATTCTAAGAAAAATGAAAATCTGTAAACCAGTCTTGATTTATTGCAGATAGACCATTGGTCAATTTCAAACATTTACACTTATAATAACTAATCAGATATTAAAGATTCAGTCTGGGTAACTATGATGTATTGGTAGCTAGATTTCACATGTAATCCTATTTTACACCTTGTACCCTCTATAGCCAATTGCTACATCAGCAAGTGCAATCTTTTAGTATTATTTTACAATGAAGAAATGTGTAAATCTAGCATTAAAATTTTGTAATTTTCCCTTTACAGCTACTTGCATACAAGTAATATATATGAAGGGAAATGTCTTAAGAACAATTGTTAATCAAACAATGTATATTTTATAGAGTTGAAAAATTTGATTTTTTGAAGAAAATAATAGTTTTAATGATCTTAATTGCAGGTGAGAAACCTTACAAATGCCACCACTCTGGGTGTGGGAAAGCTTTCTCTCAACTATCAAATCTTCAGTCACACTCTAGAAGTCACATGACAGATAGACCATACCGTTGCAACTCGTGCTACAAGTGCTATGCTGACGAGGCCGGTCTAAGAGAGCATATACCGAAACACAGCGAAACGAAACACATAAAGACGCAAATTTGTAAAATTTGTGGGAAAGCATACACGCAAGAGACTTACTTGGCACGGCACATGCTTAAACATACAGGAGAGAATGCGAAGTTACAAGGCCAGAGGGCGCCAGTCAAGCAAGAACCGTCAGATCATTCCAGTTTAGAATCAGCAGTTGATTTTACAAGAATTTTGGATCGCGTAGATCACAGAGCTCAAGAAAATGCAACGCCAGCATTAAAAAGTCCTGGATCGTCGGTGTCATCAGCATTTATGCCGCTAGCTCAGTTCGGCACGACCAGCTCAAATAATTCAGCATATCCGTACGGATCGGGGCTAAATTCTGGACTGTCGTCTGCTTTGTCAAATAGCAATTTAAGCCCCTCCCTGCCACATATATCATCGATGTCGAATCCACGCTACTTTCCTTACGACCCATTAGGATTTAGAAAATCAGATCCTGTTGACAGATTGGTCAGTGAACGTCTTGTCAACGATAGACTTGTGAATGATAGACTTGATCGTAATATGAATATGCCTATGACAACTAGGCCAGATAGCATGTTAGCTAATAGTTTCTTAAGTTTGCAGCATATCAAAAATTATGCTTCCCAGCAGATGCCACCATCTTTTTCCCCATGTCCAAGTAATTCTAGGTTAACATAAAAGCAGCAGCATCATGTGATTGCTATTTATAGAATGCTATTTATAGAAATTCTATTTATAAACATTATATAAGCGGAAACATAGTTTCACTTCTAAGTGCATTTAGGTAATATGGATCTGAAAGATAAATTGCCAAAAATGTGCTGTGCCAAGTGAAAAGCTTTACTGTGGTTTTAATTGATGTATTTTAAAATGACCTGAATATATCTATTATGAGGTTTTTTGTGTGAATGTGTTGTACACTTATTCTGTGTTTATTAACACGGACAAGAACTTACAATATTTTTTAAAGCAATCAACATAAGCTTCACTTTGAGAGAAATTAATCATTTCTTGTATCGAACAGATTATTCTTTTATATACATATTTCAAAATTACTTAAAATTTAGAACTATCAAACAAACCAGGTCCAAATTGAATTATTTACTTATGAATACATTGTGTCATAATTTTCTGGCAGCAAAAATATTAGTGTGATTTTAGCTATGATCCAATTAAAAAACGAAGAGTGGGGACATAAAAAGAGATCATCTTTTATGGAAGCACTCATGATTTCCCATCATCAGTCTCCCTCACATTGACATGGATCAATATTATGTATTTTCATGAATATTTCATGTATATGTCATGCATTGTGAATTAGTGTATCTGCACAGTTTAGATCTCTGGAACATTTTCCAACAAAATCTCCGTCACTGACGATATAAAACCCTCCCCATAACTAGAGCATAATGTAAAAGACTGCATGAATTCTTGTAGGCTACAAAATTCTGTTTTCGACAGTTTTATTAGCATTTAATCATTGGTTTAAATTAAAAAACAAGATGTTTTTCAAGTTGTAATGATTTCACATGCATCTCTTTTTTTTTAAGAAGATAGTATTTACCTCCCTTATTTGTATGGAGCAATTATTTCTTTTATTTAACAGGCCATTGCTCATTAAGTCAGAGGCACCAAACAACAACAACAACAACAAAATAAACCAGGACATGAGCAAATAAAGAGCCTGTCTTATAAATGAATAAATACTATACTTGAAAATTCCTGGAAAATCTTGCGTTAAAAATAGACTTTATGGTGTTATGATAATTTATTTATATCTCTTTCCATTAATTTTCTATGGCAAATCTGTCATTTTTTGCTGTATAAATCAAATACGGTTAGGTGATATTCATCGTAAAGTAGTTTTTTTGTATTAAATTTGTTAAATTATGTGCAAAATTGCATACTTAGTTTATACATTTTCGATATTTTTTTGTTTTACACAAAATAGTGAGAGTAAAAAAACACATAAATTTACAGTTAAAAAAAAATTGAGATTGATACCTTGTGATTGATCATCCCCCATCAGTTTGCTGGGTGGAGAAGTTGTCCAGTACAAGAGTAACTAGATAATTAAATAACACTGATGTTGTAATAATGGAATATTTGTGCATAATGTGACACTGTCTTGATGAGGGAACTTTTAACTTTCTAAGAACAATTTGTTTTAGGCATGGTTTTAAAGAGGGGAAAGTTGAGATTGGCAGCATTCTAACATGCATTTGTTTGTTTTTAGTTGTTGTTGTTTTTTCTAACTTTTCGATCCCTTTCTTGTTTGTTCTAAACCATTTTGCCAGTTTGGAAATAAACTTTCTATTGTACCTTACAAAAGAAAAGGAAACATTTGCTGGTGAACTTTCAGAAATATGTGAAAAAAGCTGCAAAAGAATATTGAATGATACTAGTATAGACATTATGAAATTAACTCAATTTTACAAAAACTACCCAAAAGTAGTGGAATGCATGTAAAGTGTTAAAAGTGATGACTGTTGTTTTTGATGTTATATTTCACCAGAAAACTAGAAAATAACTTATCTATGAACTATTACTAGTTAGGACAGTATTATGTATAGATCAATGATATAAATAGTTCCACATTTGCTTGTCGTGAGTGTTATATTGCTGAACATAAAATGGGGAGAAAAGACCCAGAGTAGTTTTCCATGTTAAAAGTGGTTTGAAAAAAAAATCTTAAAAAAAAAATTAAATTTTTATGTGTTGTTGAATGTATGTAAAATAATGTTTCGAGAGAGGAATACTGAAAACATTTGTGCAACACTTCTTTCTTTTTTAGGTAATTGTTTTATTTATCTTAAAGATATGTAATTTTTTTTTATTGTATTATGTTGGTAGATTGTTATTTTGTATGCTATTTTCAACTCCATCTGTTAAAAAACATTCTGAGATTCTTGGGTTCTACTCGACACTTCTTTGCTCATATGGATGATCCTTTAATAATGTTATTTCTATGGATACATATGGATGATCCTTTGATAATGTTGTTTCTATGGATACATATGGATGATCCTTTGATAATGTTATTTCCATGGATACATATGGATAATCCTTTGATAATGTTATTTCCATGGATACATATGGATAATCCTTTGATAATGTTATTTCTATGGATATGTACATTTTTTAATCAGCACTTTTGCTACATTTAAGGTGACACATAAGAAGGCTTTATCGACCAGAATTATTAAAATTATCTTTTATGAAAACTCACAATTTGTTACCATGGAAACAAACATTTTGTAATTAAGGTCTCTATCAATTGTAACTTTATATATATATGTGGGGGTCTGAAACTGTTGCTATGGGACACTGCTATATACATGAATTTTATACAAATGGTGATCATTATTTTTTACTGGAAAATTGGTTGCTTTGGGAATATTCTCAATATTACTATGCATACTAATATTTTTTGTTTTTATATAAAATATTAAAGTTTAAGTAAAACTTGTCTCTGAAGATCAGAAAGAATACATTCTAGATTTCATCTGTATAATTGTATATTATATATAATAAAAGAATGCACACAGTTGCGAAATTTACATCTTTGAAAGTTCAGGATTTTTATAAATTCTGTTCAATTCTGCAGAAAAAAAATTAAATTATTTAAAAAATCTTGAAGAAATTTTGAAGTAAAACAACAGTACTTACTGTTATTTTTAACCAGGTTTTCCGAAGGAAAAAACTGGTTATTAGATTGGAGGTATGTCGGCGGGCGGGCGGGCGGGCGTAAACAATTTCTTCTGTGCGCAACTCCTCCTACATTTCTCAACGGATTTTGACCAAACTTTCACAGAAGCTTTGTCATCAAGTGCCCTGGCGCATATTGTCGGGGTTTTGCGATTAGATAATATTTGACCTAATTATGGCCCTTTGTTTTTTTTCCTTATATAAAATATATAGTGAACAATTTCTTCTGTGCGCAACTCCTCCTACATTTCTCAACGGATTTTGACCAAACTTTCTCAGAAGCTTTGTCATCAAGTGCCCTGACACATATTGCCAGGGTTTTGCAATTGGTATATATTTGACCTAATTATGGCCCTTTGTTTTTTTTCCTTATATAGAATATATAGTGAACAATTTCTTCTGTGCGCAACTCCTCCTACATTTCTCAACGGATTTTGACCAAACTTTCTCAGAAGCTTTGTCATCAAGTGCCCTGACACATATTGCCAGGGTTTTGCAATTGGTATATATTTGACCTAATTATGGCCCTTTGTTTTTTTCCTTATATAGAATATATAGTGAACAATTTCTTCTGTGCGCAACTCCTCCTACATTTCTCAACGGATTTTGACCAAACTTTCTTAGAAGCTTTGTTATCAAGTGCCTGGCACATATTGTCGGGGTTTTGTGATTGGATAATATTTGACCGCATTATGGCCCTTTGTATATTTTTTCCTTATACAGAATATATAGAGAACAATTTCTTCTGTGCTCAACTCCTCCCACATTTCTCAACGGATTTTGACCAAACTTTCTTAGACGCTTTGTTATCAAGTGCCTGGCACATATTGTTGGGGTTTTGTGATTGGATAATATTTGACCGAATTATGGCCCTTTGTATATTTTTTCCTTATACAGAATATATAGTGAACAATTTCTACAGTGCGCAACTTCTCCTACATTTGTCAATAGATTTTGACCAAACTTTCACAGAAGCTTTGTCATCAAGTGCCCTGGCGCTCACTAAATTCCTATGTTTCTTCCAAGACCATCATTCAAGTATTTTTTTAAAATTGTGAACATACTTTTCTTGATATCGCACAAAACACCACACGCCAATATTGTTGACAAAAGAAAATGACAAGAGACGCAAAAATGCAAAAATTAAGCAAAAATAAAGTACTGTTTACCTTTCTAAAACATTTGGGGAAAAAAGGCGAATAAACAACATAAAATTTCTCAATCATTTTTGTTTGAGGAATATTAAAAAAGCCATAATTCCTCCTAAAAGTTCAATTAAAAACAAATGCCCCTTCATGACAAAGCTTCTGTGAAATATTTTGCTGAAAACCTGGTTGCATCGCATTGCGATGTTCCTTGTTTTATATTTAATTTTTTTTTAAATGGATTTTGCCTGGATAATTGTGTTGCATGTACAAAAATTATCAAAATTTTTATCTTATAATATTATAGGGATCTAAGGGTTTATAGATATTATTACTTTTTGTGCTCATGATTTGTGCCAAAACAACAATGTGCTTCATTTTAGGAATAGAAATACATAAAAAAAAATTGTATTTCTTTTTTATTTTTAATTACTTATGTCTGTTGTTTTTTTTACGTACTTAAAGTTCATCAATCTAAAAAAGTGCTAACATTTTTCTTTGTTACCTATTTTACTTTATTTTTGACTTATGTAAGTTTTTAAGTTAAAGTTTATTTTATTTTATAGAGGGATGCTGTATGTTCTCACACAATGGATATTTTCTTTTTCTTTTGATCTTTTTTCTTTATTAATTGATTTGGAAGTATGATAAAATTGTAAAGATCAGTCCATTACTGGATTTAAGGTACATTAACATTGCATGTATCTTGTACATGCAGGATACCCATCTATAAAATAGACTCTTCCATTATGTTATAATTATGTTTTCTTTTTTGTCTTTGTGTGTGTGTGTGAAAGTGATTGTTTAGGTTAACATGTAGATTGTTGTGTTTTATTAATGTGTATATGCTCATTTTGCATATATTTTGCATATATGATGTGTAATGAAACATTTATTGTTTACAGATATTTTTGATTATTATAGATTTTATTGTGTTATTAACTTCTGATATTTGTGAATAGGGCCTTTATATACTACGGCTCAAACCACTATTCTTGTATGGGAAGGTGGCTAAAATTTGTACAGAATTTTGTTGAATTTACATATGATTATTAATGTTTTATATGACATTGCACATATAAATGTAGACTGTATTATGATGTATAACAATGTACCTGTTCTTTAGTGATTAGACAAAAAAAATGTGCTTTAAATTTTTTCATTGCATCATGCTTAGTTCACATTAGACTTGTTTTGACCTAATCATGCCCTGTTCACATTGGACTTCTCAATTTTGATTGAACACGAGATAAGATCTAGGTTTCTTTGAAGTTTTTCGATTTTGAAGTCTGAAATCGGTCTGTAAAAAGAAAGCCGAATGTTTTGCAATGGTGATCATTTTTGAAGTCTAATGACAATTAGGGCCCTGTATTAGCTATGATAGCAGTTAAGAGTAATAAGGTAACAAATGAAAAGCAACGAAATTCTGTGAATTTATGTACAGATTTCGTTTTAAGCAGAGGTTGACTGCAGAAGATGAAAGCCAAAATGGCATTCAATAAGAAAAAGTGGCATGTTGACATTACTTTGCTTTCAACCATTAGTTGATTGACAATGTGCTGTATAAGAATTAAGGAAAGATAACTCTTTGTTACCTTATGTTAGTCGGTCATTTGTAAATACACCATTGTAATCATTTTTACCGAGTTGACCATATAGGTATTATAATTGTCGTGTAAACATTTTGTTCATTCACAACACATTTTTATCATATCATTCCATACGTGCCGACCTTGTTGTGATTTTTGTACATCGATAATGGATGTTTTGCCAAAAAAAACAAAAAAACTTCACACTATGTAGGGCATATTTTTTTTGTTGTACACAGTACGCATAACTTACTTACACATATGCTAATAATTTGGAGATTTTTTTTCAGTACCGAAGTAAAGCTTATATTTTTCTTCAAATTATTTAAAGTATAAAGAAAACAATGGTGTAGGATTATAGTTTGGTACTTTTATCTTTAAAGTTCTTTACTTTCTTACCAGACACCATTGCCTTATATTAGAGTTTAAAACGGCATTCAGCTTTTCTAAAGGTTATTTTTAGATAAATCGTTATCAATGAGTATTATTGTCAAATCAAAAGAATCATTAGGCAGAAAATGAAATTTGCATTTGATAAAATACATAAACAATAAAGAGACACCCTTGATAATCCACTCTCTATATGTATATTAGTAAAGTGGATGTTCTGTTTCCCGATCTACTATTTTTGAAATGAACGTTGCTGGTACGTTATAAATAGCTCTCGGACGCTGTGTTAAAGAAGACTTAACATTGAAACCACTTTTCGAAGATAAAATGATTGAAATACTTAGTTTAAAACATGACACTGAATTGTTTTCCATATAAAACTAAAAGCTGTAGGCCGCTTGAACAGAATTAAATTATCACTCACTTGCCATACTGACAACTCCTGTTTATAAGGTTCTTAGAAACCGCAGATTAATTTAACAAAGCGTTACTTTAAGAATCATTACAGAACTTTTTAATGATGATCTTTACCTATTGTTAAACAAATAATTAACTTTCCCGAACATTCCAAACTGTAAGTTGCAGTAAATCAAGCATTTTTTTTATTGTTTATAAAATATTCGTCAGAATATTTCAAATGAAGGTGTTAAGTGATCAAACAATTTGAAATTTATGTAAGCATTGTAGTTTTGTTGTAGAGCACATCCGTTGTATTACGATATCAAGCACACTCTGAAATAATACAATTTTAAACCTCATTTTGAATTATTAATACATTGAAAGATGTCCAATTATTACTAACTTTAAAAACACTTTGAAATAATACAAATGTAAACACACTGAAATAGTACATGGCTCTTCAAATCAAAATGATCATCAATAATTATCCGAAATATAAGTATGTCCAAAATTTATTATAGTTTTATTTATTTAAATAAAAAACTAAAAATAAATTTTTGAGATTTATAACAAAATGGCAAGAATTGTTAACATG